TTGCACATAAGTAAAACTCGAGAGAAATAATTCATCATTTTAAAGAAAACAGCAATCAAATTGAATTTTTTATTTATTTCTATTGTTTTCACTTTTATAACTAGTACTTTGTTTCACATTTGTTTTTTGGCTTGATTCTTTTGAATTGCTTCTCTGACCCCTAAATTATCTATAATCCAGGTTTTGAGATTTTATGAACTGAACATAAGCAATAATTTATATTAGTAAAAATATTCCTTTTGGAAAATTTAGTAATGGCAAAAACAGTGGAAGAATTTCGTGGAATTAGAATTACTGAAGTAGAAAATATAATCGTATGAAAAAGCGCTATAAGAGAAATTTAATAAAAATTTAAATTCGAGAAACTTTCTTGTACATTCTGTCATTCCCATCATATAGTCTATTAGCCTCCTTCCAAAGTTAAGCAATCTATACTAAATTGTAATAATTGTCTTGGATTATGTATTCTGTTGGTTGCAACGTGTATAACAAAAACTTCCTTAAGTGTTATTGGCTTGCTTGTACAATCTGACTGCGTGTGGCACCATCTGAATATTTTGCAAGAACAGCAGCCCTTATATGCTAATGCACGTTATCTAGAAACTAAAATCGATGAACTACAGAAACCATAAATTCAAATGAAGTCTCATTGAATGCGAAATCCGAGTCGTATACATTTCAAGGATCGATTCTCTGCAATGTGTACGTCCATTACAATTATGCCATTGTGCAAATGCAATAGTAAAGTGTTATTAATGTGTCACTAGCACAAAGCTGTTACTGTATTTTAGACAATCAAAAAATATATTAAGTAGTTGTTGTTTTTCCCCAACCACATTAAAATTCTTTGGACGTTTATGGACACTGGAGCAAATTACCTAATGGGTTGTTCGGACTTTCAAGCACCAGTTGCTACCTCGTAAATTGTTATTTATTAATTATTTACGAGATTTAACATGTAATTTTTATGTTCCCACACACTTTAGACCAACCGTAGGAGGTCTATTTAAATTAGCTGCTCGATATTATCAACGCCGCTTTCATCTACATTTTATATTAAAAAAAAAAATTATAATTAATAATTATATTTGTTTCTACATAATTTGTCTATAACGTAATTTAAAATTGCTTCTACTTTCAGCTAACTAACTTTTTACAAAATGTGAATTTAGTTACGAGTTTAATGAACTTGTGGGAAAAATCTAAAACTGGTGATTATACATTTCAGATTTTTGACCTCCAGAGTCAACTTTAATTTGTCGTGATTTGTCTTTCTTTGATCTCTTTTACTCTAGATTCAGGAGTAACAACTATTTAAATTTGCGACACGCATTACTGCCTCAATTTTCGCTATGGTCAAGTTCAACGTTTTTATAAAATCATATATTTTTTCTAAGAAGTTGTCATTGCTATTCGATGGATTATTTGCCATGTTCCGGTCACGTCACATGCGGTTGAATCTTTATCAGCCACAAAGACGCCGACTTGTTATTTTTTTATTGTCTGGTAATCGGGATGTTTATTAGGATTAAAATGTTGAAACAAAGCATGAACGTGTTATTGAATATTCAGTAGCATCGACAGGCGACATTCTAATCCACTATGGAACCTGTCATTTCAGAATAAGGCTACTAATTATTATTACATAGTTATCACTCTGTTCATCTAGATTGTGATCGCAGATAAAACTAATTCTTTAATAATCAGCCTGAACGTCCGTTCTCTTTTTTCTTTCGACACTTTCTTTTTACCTTTCTCCGTTTGATATTTATTAATTGCGATGATCACGATTTAAAATTAACCAATTGACATTGATTTAGTGACCGAAATCTAGTAGATCCAGCTTGTGTTAAATTGAAGCTAAACCACTAAATTTACTCAATGACACTAACATCGGCAATGACGGCTTTGCGGATTGCATCTGAAACTACTGTAACAAGGGCACAAGTTTGTTAGAACTAACTGACCATTCGGATCATTTGATAGCTTTTACTTAGCTTCTAAATACGAGGCAGTTTTACTAATGTTACGCGGAAAATTTAAAGAGACGTCTAAAATTTGTTATTCTTTTATTTAACAACATAATAAAGTAAGTTGTTAGTTAGCCAACAATACTTAAACTAATTTATGCAAAATCTCATAGAGCATTAATTTTTCATTGCTATCAAACAATGTACCTAAGTGTTTAAAAAGAGGAAATCTAGTATTGGTAAATAATAATTTAATTGTGTCACTTCATTAAAAACTTAGGTAAAATTTAGGTAATGAAATTTGGACTATTTTTTTTTGTATTATCGTAGTCAGAATCACAGAAGCAACCTGCTGTTGTGAAAGAAGGAAGGATTGAAGAAAGAATCGAACGAATTTTTTTTTGTTCAAGAAAAGTATACATACAGCAATAATTTGTTTTCCAGCTTTAACAATCTGTAATTTTTAACCAAAACCTAATTATTATTTTTCGACACTGTCAAAGTTTACGGTTTTTCTCCCATGTAAGGGAGTTTTGACAACTCTTTAGCACTTCTCAATACGAAACGTCCGATTATTTTTAACAGATTTAAAGCAAGTTGAATCTAAGCCTTGTTGAATCTAATTCGAAGAATAAAATGTTGTATTCAACTCGTTTGAGTGTAAATCGGACGCTTTATTTCATCTCGTGGATGAGCAACCACTGATTACACTCGTGTTTTAAAAATCCACTCGGTGAAATAATGCGTCCGATTTACACTCAAACTCGTAGAATAAATAACTATTTTTTAGTTTTTAAAATTATGTATATCTACATTAAATACATAAAAGGTTGGACAATTGGTCTCATTTTATGGGATACTCTGTTTTGCAGAAATGGTGGATGATGCATTAAAAATTAATTGCCACAGAATTAAATCAAATCAAAAAATTGAATTAAAAAATTTGAACTAGAACTAAACCAATTTTATCGAAAAAAATTGGAAATATAAATGTACATTATTAATAATTAACGAAGTTTTAACAAAATTGCGAAAAAATGATTTTCTTTGCGTGAAGCAACTCTACTTGTACCTTTTAAATGGAAACAATTTAAACATATTTTATTTTTATAATTGTGATATGTAAATAATAAATATTTGTAATCAGCTAGGGACTTGAATATTTATTACCAGCGACGGTGTGATAAATAAGTGACAATAACTCAAATTGTAATATAAGATTTGTACGGACACGGATAAAATACATAAATTGTGTCTAAATATTGATTTCCCGGTACAATACTGTCTGGCAAAAAATCCTCCGGTGTAATAACTTGACATTTGCATCATGCATCTATTTGCAGTTTTACACATCGCTTCCCTACCCTTAGTACCCTTTTAAAAACGCTTTATTTTTTAATAGGACATCCATGCCCATGCTTTCAGCTTGTGAAAGCGCTATTGTTTCGCCACGTTATGGAATATTTCACATTTTCAGTGGAATAAAATTGCTAATTCATTATTCGCACCAATTTTAAAACCAGATTTTAGATTATCGATTATGTACGTTGTAAATTTGATTGTAATCATTATTATGGAGTAGGTTAGTTACGCGTACTAGCAATAAAGACTTGTTATTGAAGAATAAATTCCAAATCTGAAGGTTTAATGAGAACGCACCTTCTAACAATATCGATTAGACAGATCTATAGATCCGCTCTAAATCGTAAAATAATAAGTTAACTGTTAAGTTATTATATCCAAAAGCACTTTGTTAATCTACAAACAATTCCATAATTACATGTTACCAAACTGGATAATATAATTTTGATCGATTAGATGCGGTAACATGGTAAAAAATTACCTACTGTATTACCGCGTCACCTTATTTGGAAGTATAAATAATTTAAATATAAGAGATCTAAAGAGCAAGCTTTCGCAGTGATAGCAGAGCGGTTGAATGTAGCGGTGGAGAGAAAAGAAATAAAGTAAAACAGTGTGAGAGGTTGAATGATATTTCAAAAAAAGTGTTTTAAACTGCTTCACATCATTAATTTTAGAAAATCATTTCAGAAACTTATAGTGCAAATTAAAAAGGACTCGTTATGTAAGATAAAGCCTTAAGGGTAGTCGTGCACACCTTAAACAGATTTATGTTTTGATAGTTGTACTAGAACCGGCATAATTATACAGTGATCCCACTCAAGTGTCTATTGAGGCAATAAGGAGTAACATTTTTATCTAGTTTGTATTATAATTAATCTACTTATTATTTATTAATAGCTGATTACAATATTAGAATGTTGAACTTGTTGATAAATTATTGTTTCAACACTTGCGTTTGAATCTTTGGTGGCCGTAGGATTTTGTGACAGCTTACAAAGTTCTCAGGATTGTTCCCTCTGCGTGGCTTATAATATAGACTTCGATATAGACTATCCACTCAACACATTTTTGGTTTTTAATTGATTTCATCAAAAAATTTAGTTAAATGTTTGAAAATCTAAAAGTATAAAGAATTGCGAGAGGTCTAACAAGATTTCATCGATTTTTATTTATTACTTGGTACTTTGACTTTGATGATCTCGCTTAATCGAATTTCAATTCGCAAAGATGTGAAAATAAAAACCAAGCGTCATAATTTGCATTCACTTTGTTCTTAGGCAAATAGAAAAGGCTTTGTTAAACGAAGCATCTTTGTGGAACAATTGACTTAACCACGGGAAATGTTATTTCGTATTTCCCTAATCCTATTGAAGGTATTGCCTTACACTATTGACATGTTCCCTCAGCTTTCTGAGGTACTGGTTAATATTAATGAGGCAGAGAAGCAGCCGAATTAAGTCTCTAAGAATAAGTCGGCGGATTATTGGTGATTAGCGGCAGCTTTCCCAACCTCGAACCCACCATCAAACACAAGAAGATTGGATATATTCGAATGAAAGAGCATAATCAATGCAAAATTTTTACGTTTCGTCGGTTCCAATTTCGGTCTAAAATAAAACTCGGGCTTTAATTATCTGACTCACGATTGTTTTCTTTTTCTTTCAGGTAAGATGCCTTGAGAAACGATTTACTTACGAGGGTCGTCCTCGTCAAGTAGACAAGTATGAAGACGTTTCATAAGCAGCTCCTCACGATTCTTCTTCTACTTCATGCAAGTCTTAACGAGGCTGTAGATCTATGTAGGTATCAGATATTGCTCTTTAGAACATTGCTCACTCATTGCGATTATTTTTCCCTACAGCACAATGTATAGCTCCTCTGGGAATGGAAAATGGGGCAATCAAAGACGAGGACATAACCGCAAGCTCTTCGTTCGATAGCGGTAATGTGGGTCCTCATCACGGCCGGTGAGTTGATATTTATGCTAATCGAATAAGCTAACCGTGAATGCGCCTCGCAATCCTTCATGTTCCTAAATTGAATGGTCCCGAAAGAAATTCATAGAATTGGCCAAGCGACCTAAAGAGCACGCTCCGTTTCTGACATTGACAGATGGCGGAAGGCGTTAGACGCAAACAGACGGAATATGAAAATTTGAAAGCACCCTCTAGGTCTGTTGCTCCACTCAATCTTCTCCTCGGCGAATTCTGTCAGGTTTATGAGAATTTAAAACCCTTGCCGTGCGGCCCGGATCAATAACCCTACTAGCCTAGGTGTTCTGTCTAGTTTGGCGAGCTTTGCGAATTATACCACTAATTGACTACAACGTCGACGTTGCACGACAAAACATGGAGAATAATATTTTATTTCAATTTCATTTCAGTATTCTCGACCAAAATTACTTTTCAACTGAATTAATGCACAAGTATTTGCCGTTCAAATGGCATATCTAAGAAGTACGTAAAAAGCCTTTTAGCTATACGTCAATAAAAAATATGAATACTTTTTTTAAAAAGGGAGAAAACGGTGAAACGAGAAAATCACAACCTTTAACCTTTCGGATTTCAATCGGGACCTGTGACGGCGGAACAATGATTCGCACTGCGTGTTAAAGTTTACAAGAGATAAGTCGGCTTTTGTGTATTATTGGTTTATTAAAAAACTTCGAAAATGTCGAAATATAAAGTCAGAAAGCTGCTTGTTGAACATTTAACAGGTCACAGGTCTTCATATCTAGTCTAGCAGAAAAATAAAATGCATCAAAACATTTTTATCAAAATAAGGGAGAATGAAAGAAATCTTATTGGTGTAAAGAGTTTTTTTTATTTGTAGGGTTCCAAACGATTTAAATGTGAGCTTTTGCGGATAGCCCAAAAAACTTCATATATGAAGACAAAACATTTCTTTCTTGTAACGATAAATCAATTTTCAATAATGTTGTAGCAGTTTGTTTAAATAAAACCCAGATCGTGTTGTTAATTTTTTCTTAGGCTGACAATGTGAAAGCCTCAATTAAAGCAAAAATTTATTGACCTAACATGGAAAACAAGACGTGTCGTTATAAGATGACCAAATTAGTGAGAAGAATGTGTTTATATCTGTTTAGCACATAATACAAATTTGTAATCGAATTGTTACTTAACACAACTTAACCCCTTGGAAACAATTTTCCTTGTTTCAGGTGTTATACTCGTAATGCTTTAGCATTTTAATTGTCGAACTACTTCCTTTGTGCGTACATTCTAGGACATAATTTATGTGGTTTTACTGCCAGCTTTAATAAGGCAATGTAGTTATTACCTCAATTGTTCCCCATTTCTGACTATTCCAAGAATTTCAATATCCATTAATGTAATAATCAATCATTAAACCTTTACGTTAAGACTTGAAATAGTTTCAAATGTTTGGCAGTGGCTAATTCAATTTGTCATGTATATTCGCTCGTTTTCCTTAATACTAAAATGGAGTTGTACTCGTAGTTATTAGTTTGCTAAAATACACGTTCACCCATAATTAAAATATTTACTGGTTAGGTCTGGAAATAAAGAGTTTTCCATCAAAAGTGAAGAGTTTCAAAATGAAATTCACCGTTACATTTTATTGATTTTCTCTGGAGAGCTTAATTTCATTTTTTAAAGTATCAGCTAGCAAGCTTTCGAGTAGGTTACTTCGGAAACTTTTTCACTTATCGAATGAAACTACTTGAAAGTTTAACTTTGTTTAACGACACCAGAACGAATATAAAACATCTTTCGGTGCGAATGGAACGCCTTTACAATAAGAATCAGCTACAAAGTCATACACTGAATACTATAATTAGACAACTCTTAAAATATTTCAAACATGGTCACAATTTAATCAAGTGCAATTGTGTTTTCGAAAGAAAAGTTTTTCACTATTATTCAATTTTCTCGGACTTGTTGGACGTAATTTGGAGTTGATAGGCGGTATTGAAGGCCCGGACTATTGAATATATGGTTGCATTGTTCGGGTTGTTATTCAATACTATCTCTATGTCCGAATATGGCCAGCATGTACTACATATGCAAGAAGTAAACTAGACATTTATACCTATGTCGAAAGCTAACATTCAGTGAATTATCATTTCAAAATAACTAGCGGAATGAGTTCGAAGAAACCGCACTAAGTTATTTTAGAGTCGCTATTTTACAAATTGATATCTTGCGACATAAAAGCTTCGCCTCATAAGGAAAATGGTCATTACTTTTATTACTTAAAAATTAAATAACCGCTTTAATAAAGATAAAAACCTCATTTTGTAGCGAACGGTAACAGATTTCTTAAAAATTATTTTATTTACCTACTTTATTATTCAAACATATTTTTTAAAATAAATTTATATTATGTAATGGCTGTGAAGATGCATTTTTTCTGTTAATTTTTAGTTGTTAGTTAGTTAGTTTAGTTGTGGTTTAGTGGTATACAAGACTTTTTCAAGTATACTTAATTTAAATTTTTGTGTAATGTCAGTCACATTTGAAGTCTCCTTTTTATTGTTTGTTACAAACCAATATTACAGCTTATAAAAATAACTATGAAACTAACTACCTCATTTTCCAAATGCGTTTGTTTTTATTTAAGTATAATTTTTTTATTTATTTACCTGTAACAGACTGAAAAAAGTATTATACTTACAAGCTTATAATAGTTTTATAGTTTTCTTTTTTCGTTCTTACATATTTTTCAACTACTGCATTTTTTGAGTTATGTCTGTTCTTTTCGGAGTACGATGTAGCTAAACCAATTTAGCACCAATTTAGATCTCAACGCTCTCTGTTGAGCGATTCTCGAGTAAATTCTGAACGAACTTCTGAAGGAGTTTTGTTATGTTATGTTGGTTCAAAATTTAAAAACTAGGTATTATTTGCTACCAAAATGTATTAAAAAATACTTTGAATATGAAATAAATAGCTATTTATGTATCACGTACGCAAAATATGGTTTTAGGGGACGAATCGTAATTAATGACGATGCGACGTAGAAGCCGAGTCTTCAATGAGAGGAATCACCTAAAACCTCTTGCGTAGGTGGTGCACACAAGATTTTTTTGTTAAGGCTCTTAAAACATGAATTCACACCTCTCACTAATAAAAAAAATTTCGTTACCATAGTAACCAATTTTATTTTTTAGTCCGCAAAAACTGTTTTTGGGGACTGAGTACCTAAAATAACCGTTTTGCGTACTATTTTATTGAGTCCGGAAAAGACTCATTTTCGGGACTGTCTTCGGGAGCGTATACAAAAAAGTTTGAATCGTATCATTTGCACAGGATTATTTTATGTCTAACAGAAAAAAACCTCTTTATTGTGTTTCAATGTGATTTTATTTATTTATCTTACCAGAATATTTTTAACAAATATAATTTTCGTTTTTATAAAACAAAAACTGTAGCAAAAGCTTGACGTAGATTGTAATAAAATTTAGTTTTTTATCCGGTAAACTATAGATTGTGCCAAACCAAATAAAATTATGTTGTGGATTTTATTTAGGATATTACAGTCAGGTAGACACGAACGATTACCATTAATTATTCGTCACTCATCGGTCTTTTTTCCCAAAACTGGGAGGGTAAATACCTGAAAGCCATTATCGTGAAACTGCTTGTAACGACATGTATACATTATATACTCCATTCACCCTTTTCATATTGACGCGATGAATTATTGATTCCGAGATTTTATTAATACGTCTTATAGGCAGTAGGTGATTCATCATTACCTTTATTTTCTGGTTCATTAATCGATCCTCGTATAAATCTCCTTGCGTCGCATTTTCGATTTATAGGACGTTTGAGGATTATCGGGTTTGGGCAATCTAAATAGGCAAATATTTAGCCTAAAATACTTTCTCGTCCACCTATTCAGGACTTGTGCAGAAGAAATCAATGAATAATGGATAGAAGTGCCCCAGAGACCATTCTTAGAGTACAACGCCGAGGAAACTTCAGAGCTTTTATGGTGCACACTTTCCTCTTTTTGTTGAAAAGTAGGAATGTTCGAACAAGTATTAAGTGATCAATTGGTTTTTTATATTACTCTTCAAGAAGAGAATAATCGCACGAACGAACTTTAATAGATAAAGTCGAGGATTACCTTGAGTTAACTTGGAGTCAAACACATATTTCTTCAATTACAGATTGCGAACTTTTCATGATTTAGGGGCGAGGTGATAATGCGATTGAAACAATTCTATCGACTTCCGACTTGCTTCATTTTACTTTTTGATAAAGCGACTTGTTTTGACTCTTAATCTCAATTTTACGACGTTTGTATTTTATTTATAGGGTGCGAACAGACCGAAATGGAGGCGCTTGGTGTCCATTGAAGCAGGCAACAACAGAGCCCGAAGAATGGATCCAAATAGATTTGAAAACTGTTCATATGATAACAGCAACCGGAACCCAGGGCCGCTTTGGTAACGGGGTCGGAATTGAATACGCGGAAGCTTACATGTTGGAATATTGGCGACCCAAGCTCTCGAAATGGATACGTTATCATAACAGCAAAGGCGAGGAGGTAAGAAACCTTTTCAAACGGCCGTTATTCGAAACGGATGTCTCTAATTAAAGCTGAATTCATAAAAGTGACTTTAATGCACGTGCCAAAAGTAGTAAGCGCTTTTAAGTGTCAAATGTTTTCGAAATTTATGAGGAAACTTGAGCAATTATCAAAACTGCAATCATATGTGAAGTATTTATTTTAGTATGCCACATGCCCATCCACAAGACGTCATGTTATTATTAGTAATTGCAGCCAGAAGTTGGACCGAAAATAAGTTAAAAGCTTTTCCACGACCGGATACTGCTCTTTAAGTTGCTTATTTATTCAGCCAATTTCGAATTTTATTCTGCAAATTGATCGAGCGAGATTAATTTTATAATTTTGTGTTTCAGTTTTGAACGGTGTAAACAAAGAATGCTGAAAACGTGAACCGTTTTCAGTGCTTTCTAGTCCGCTTATTATTAGGTTCGTCACGCGATCAGCCTGCATATTGATTTTTATTGCATTAAAAGCTTACTTACCACACCTTGGTGCCGTGTTCCCCTATTGTTAAAAGCACAGAAATTGCTACGAAATTGTATGGAATAGTAAAAACTACCACATTGTTCATTATTTTGATATACAACACACAAATGGATTTTTTTCTTAATTACATTTTATTACACTTGAAATGTACATCAATTCAACGTTATTATGCAAACAGGCACTTTAATGCGGTAATAATGCAAAAACGGAGTTCTTGTTACTTTCTTAGAATTTGTGTGCAATTTACTTCGATGTTGCTAAATATGTCGACGATTTGTGATGTCTTCTAATAAGATAATTAGGAAATAGAAAACGGGCATGAATTGTAGACATTTATCTTCAATTGTGTTCTTCCTGTGCGGCGCCTAGTTTGATTAAGCATCCAAGCAACGTTTAACATGTAGCAAAATATTTGCCGTAATAAGAGCACGATAAATTAACATTATAACAGCTCTAACTGATATTAATGGTGACGTGGATTATTAAATAAGCCAATTTACATTACGGGTTTTTACATTGTTTGTTCCCTCATACATCAAAATTTATTAAACGCAACAGAATTTCTTTAGATGTAGGTATGTAGATCTATCTCATAACAAATCATATAATACATAACATATCAATAACTTGTTTACTGGATGACACAACATTGAAAATTTTCGGAATATTTCGTTAAAAAATATGTTTTAGACGCTTTAGTTTCCACAAAATATGAATCAAACCTCAACTATCCCACGAGAACGAAATAATTATGGATTTATAGAATTCATCTTTTGCTGTTTTGATCAGTTTTATCTGTTTACAACTTGTTTACTGGATGACACAACATTGAAAATTTTCGGAATATTTCGTTACAAAAATATGTTCTAGACGCTTTAGTTTCCACAAAATATGAATCAAACCTCAACTATCCCACGAGAACGAAATGATTATGGATTTAGAATTCATCTTTTGCTGTTTTGATCAGTTTTATCTGTTTACAAGAAAATAACATTATTTTTTAATGCTTGTTGTAAGATAATTTTATTGACTACAATGGTAGTTTCCATTTTTTTATTCAGTTCAGTATAACGTAAAATAAATAATATTCTTTTAAAACCTATTTTTAAACTGTCTTTTATATCAAAAATTATGTAAATCAAAAATCGTTAACGAGCATTACTGATGGCTTTGGTTTTGCTGGTGTCGTATTTTTTATTCTATATTAATAAAAAAACACTAATATTAGGTATTGGAAAAAATATTCTATGCCACTCGTGATTAAAGGCGTATATTAGTTATTTGGGCTGTCTAGGGTTTTTCAATTAAATTGATTTTAATGAACAGCTGGAGTATTGAAATCCAACATTACGACCACATTTTACGGCTTCTGTTTGTTACAATCAATGATTCATTACTACTCTACTTATTTTTACTGCATTTTTCACGATTACCAAAACAGGAACGCTATTATACTGCGATTGACGCCAGTATTACGTCGACATTTATGGCCCTATTCAAATTCGAAATTATTACTCCCTTAAAATATGGAACTTCGTTCCGTATATCTATCACATCTTTCTTTTATTTCAAACAAGATTTCAATTTTATTTTTCTCGTCGATTTTTATTTTAATTAAGTGTGTTAAATATCTTGTAAATTGGATTCTTGCTGGATACCATCATATAAACACTCACTAACGCGCTCCAACAATCACTTTCGATCAACAGAGTTCATCATTAAATTTATGTTTGTTTCCTCTGTCAGGTCCAATTAACTTAAAGGCATTTTTCTGGTGCCAAACGCCAACAGCGTCGTAAATAGATTAGGTAACTGTTTGTTGATGACTTTGCTGATTAAGTTGCTTAATTTGTTCGCGTTCTGTGAATTCGAAAGATTCGCCATTAAATTTTAACTATTCCGAAATGTGAGATACTTTGAAAAAGGCTATAAATTTAAAAAACAGATGCTGTTAGATATAAAACTTTTCACAAATAGCAAGGTAAAAAGTTCACTGGCCCCACGGAAATCCACTAAAACATAATTATTGTAATACCGAGAACGTCGTTATTTTTTATGTGCAATGTGGTCTTTAGGAAGCACACGTTTTGAACACCGGAATAAAACCAAGCACGTCCTGCTCGTCCAATTAGCGGCACTGCAGGTTCTGTAATACGATGAGAAACAAACTTTGAGATAACTACAAATAAAAATTGTCGTAAACAATTATTCCGAAAATAAGCATACTAATGCGCCCTCGGGAAAACAAGTAAACACCATCACCAAAGTCCACGATTTTATAGTAACTTTTATATTCAGTTACTCCAAACTTACCATCTTATGGTCCAGTCAACTAACAAGTTGTAGCCCAGAATAGAATTTTTACGAACAAATTGGTTGTACAAAATTAAAGCTTATAAAATCTTCCACAAGTTGGTCTTTTCAGGTTTTTTTATATTTCAAATTTTTCGAGATATTCTCTAGAAAATATCGCACTCTAAAAATTATGTTAATGAATGAACGTAAGGATTACTTATTGTAAAAGTTGTAAGCATTGTGATTGGGCATTTTAAAGTCGGCCATTATAATAAAAAAAAAACAATCACTTTACATTTTTGGATTCATTCAAAAATTTAATACAAAGATGTGATTGGTCCGTTTGAGGTCGGCCATTATTATAATGTGAGTAACCATGAAGAAACCAATCACTTTCGACTTTAGATTAATTGAAAAAAGTACCGAAATTGGTTAATTGGGATTTACAATCATTCATTAAAGGTAATTCCACTTTTTATTTTTATGAAAATGCTATGATGTGTGTGCCGTTTATGCGCTTTGTGCGAATATTGTGACGGGGAATTTGCACCTTACGATCTGTTCTAGATATTTAATTGGGATCAGTGGCGTAACTAGAAAATTTGGTTCCCCCCGCGAAAGACGTCTGTTGGGCCTCTCTCTTCTCTGGTTTCGGAGAAGAGAGTAGTATAAAGTATAAGAAGAAACTAAAAAATGCAATCCTTGTAGATTATACATACAGGGTGTCAATTTTAAAACTTGCAATCGGCAAAATCTCTAGAACTAAAAAAATTATTGAGAATCACTCAACTGTGGTGGTTTTTAGGGGAAACCAAAATGGCATGGTAAGTGACGCTCCTCCACCCACCCTTCAAGCCACAGCCACCTTAAATTGAAAATTTTAAATGGCACGACCCTACTTGCGATACATCGTTGGAAAGCCCATAACAAGCACTTTTCAAAAATGTCATACAACAGCCTATTTAGTAAAGCCATTTTTCGAATTATTCAAAAACGAAGACGTTAAATTTTATTTTTTTTTATATTCAAGGGTGGGTGGAAGTGTGTCACTTATCATGTCATTTTAGTTCTCCCTAGGAACCACCAAAACGGTTTTGAGTGATTATTAATAACTTTTTCAGTTGAGAGAAATTGCCGATTGCAAGTTTTAAAATTGACACAGTGTATACATATTTTAGTGTATATATATTTTATTTCGCTAACGAACAATAATTCTCAAAGAAACAATAGTAGAACAATTTAACAAAACAAATAACAATAAAAAAAATTATAAGCAATAATAGCAGAGTAACAAAATTTCAGCTCACGTTTACTTAGGTAATTTGTTTTTTCTTTGCTTTTAAATTTGCAAAATTTTGGATAACATTGGCCATGTTTAGTTTTTAAGCGACATCGTATTCTATTGACAAAATGGACAAATTTGTAAGCCTTTTTTGGTTCATAGAGTTCCGTAAATAATTTTTATTAATTTTAATTTAGAAAAGGATATCTCCGCTGATGTGACGGTGACAGGCAGAGTTAAATACAGTAAAGAAGAAAAATTCTGCAGTTTTTTGTTTTTTATTGCATTGGCTTATAATAATTTATGTACACCCTTTAAAATTTTTTAAACTATTGCTATTATTACTATTATTTTGGAAAGGGCACTTTATCCCAAGGRCCCCCCTGCGGCCGCGGGCTTTGGCGGGTGGGTAGTTACGCCACTGATTGGGATGTAAAACCTTAAACTTTAAAATAGAAACAGGGATGTTAGTGATTAGTTGATTACCTTGTTTACTCATGCGCCTACAGTACAATTTGCAATGTACACAGTCACTTTTGCCGTAAATTTGGGATTTAGGCACCATGATGCAAAGGGAGACAAGATAAGTGTTAAAGAGTGTTTGCGATATTTGTGAGCGGATATCACAAAAACTATTTAAAATACAAAAAAACTAAAAAGGATGTTTTGTAGGAAATTTTATTGGCTTTAACTTTATATATAATTATTTTTTCGTACCACACACCGTTTTCGAGATATAAGCGAGAAACCATAAAACGGTCTCTTTTTAGTGTCTCTCTTCGCCCTGCTCATCTCGGAGAACCGAAGACTTTCAGTGCGTTTTTTTTTTCTAACTAGTCCAAACCCAATTATGTTTTCTATAAGCCTTTTTTGAGTGTTTGTTGACCGGACTACTCACTGGAAATGATAATGATATTTTACTACTAAATTAGTACTACTAAATTATTGTTAATGTTTTTGGAATAAAAACGTTTTGATTGATATATGAACACTAAAGTCATTTTCAAATATGTGAATCAATTTTTACATCTTAACATAACATGCTTTATGTAGGTATACATGAGGATGACAAAGTAAATAATTTATTCACTGTATTTAATAAGAATAATTAAATATTTCTGTAATTAAATAAAATTGCACGTAAATGCGCCATCAGATAATAGGTAGACAGCTATAGAAGTAATAATAATTAATACTAATTAAATCTTCGGGACACATTTTGTTAATTAAACCAATAATAACTGTCCACAAATGAGAAAACTTATACGCAACAGGTTATTTTGGTTAACAAATAATTTCAATATGTGTGTAAATTGTGGTATAAATGCTCATCAAAATTCCCGTCGACGTGTTCAGAAAGCTGTAAGCTATGATTTTGCTGCTGATTTACAACCTGCAAGAGTATATAATTAAAGTAATACTATTAAACATTTCTTCTGATCGTGGAACTTATAACTATCAACAACTGATAAATTTAGGAATATTTACGTGTCCTAAAAAGCTATTTCTAATTGGGTGTGTTTTTGTTGGCGTAGAAAAGATGGTTTAGTAAAGGTAACGAAAATTTCTATTTGCATAATAATTAACTTCAATAGCAAGAAAATACGTTGGCAAGTCGTATCACGTCTCTACTGTAATATAATATAACAAGAACATGTGGAAACTTAAAAAGCCCAACATAGAAACCGCCGCCACATACAGAGAACAATCAACAAAAGCGACATTTCGAATGTGATAAGAATGATCATGTTACAATATTGACGCGTATATTTATCAAGTAAATGTATTGAGGAGTTTTTCTTTTCTAACGAAAATTTAGTAAGCAAGAGAAAAGGGCGCCAAATCGACAATGATTTGCGTGACTCATGGAAATTAGAGTTTTCGTGTTGAAGGTAGATATAATAACGACAAGGGAGTGAGGGTTGATAACAATAGCTATGTCGCCAGCAAGCCATAAATGCTCTGAAAGTGCTGTGTGGAAAATTTGCGCTAGTTTTCCAATGGCCGAGTGTATATTACTCTCGATAATTTTCATTTATATTGCTGAAAAAGACTGAAATTGGGGTATTTGTGGTCACGCTTAATGATTTGGTTCTTTTTCAGGTCTTGCCTGGCAACATCAATACATATCTCGAATCGAAGAACACTTTAGTGCCTCCCATATGGGTGAGCAAAATCCGCTTCTACCCCTACAGCTACCACAAAAGAACTGTTTGTATGAGAGTAGAACTGTATGGCTGTCGGTATACAGATGGAATCGTCAGCTACTCTATGCCCCAAGGGGACAAAAGAGGGTCAAATTGGGAGTTTTACGATTTTGGGTATGACGGCCATTGGGACGGAGACGAGCTAAAACATGGTTTGGGCCAACTAATCGACGGAATTTTCGGCCACGATGACTTCAAAACGGATTTTTACGACGAAGCACAAACGTGGGTCGGCTGGAAAAACGACACTCGACAAAACAAACCGATCGAAATCAAATTCGAGTTTGACCGTGTTCGCGAATTTTCCGCTGTTCACATCTACGGCAATAACCAATTCACAAAAGATGTTCAAATTTTTTCACATGCCAAAGTTATGTTTAGTGTAGGAGGCAAGCGCTTCAAGGGCGAACCCATCACTTACGAGTACATGGAAGACCGCATCTTCGAAAACGCCCGCAATGTGACCATCAAACTCCACCACCGAGTGGGACGTTTCGTCAAAATTCAGCTCCATTTTGCCGCCAAGTGGCTGCTTGTGAGCGAGATAACTTTCGATTCCGTGGTCGCGCACGGGAACTTCACCGTGGAGTCGGAGCCGACGACTGTGCCCTCGGTTAGGGGCCACAGTGGTGATAGACACCACGAGCACAAGATAGAAATACCGGTCCCGAATAAGATAAACGAGCCGGCTTATTTGACAATCATCGTGATTGGGTTAGCATTTATTATCCTGTTGTTAGGTGGAGTGATTTACTTGATCATCCACCGCTTCCGGAATCGAAAATTCTTCCGAAGCCCGAATTCCTCCAACATTGGTTTTCCGGGCGACACTTTGCCGCATCTTCAGCCGGAGTCGGTATTGGGGATGAGCGAGAAGGGGAGCTCGATTGAGGCATACGGGGTTACAGAAATTGAGGATTACCGCAGAAGTCATGGTACTTTGAAGTCGAGCTTGCGGTCAACTTTGCCTTTGCCACATCCTGGACATATGTCGGAGAGCAACGAATATCAAGAACCATATCAAGCTTTAAAATATGCGCCCTATTATAGCTATAGCTCGGTGGTTATGGAAATGCAGGATACTATGCCCAACAGTATTAAAAAATGCCCTATCCAGCAAATAGGTAAGATAAAGATAAAAATCTTGTGATTTGCACAAGGCGTATTGATTTGTCATTTACTGCAACATTGTTTGACTAACCTGTACATATTTACTTTATATTTAATGGGATTAATGACTAATGAGAGAGCATATAAGGGAAAACTAATTTTTAAAAGCATTTTTATTTTTTAGAATACAGTATTATAAAATAAATAAAATGAATAAAAGTATTATACAAAAGTGGTTGAATTCAGTAATTCAGTAAATTTGTAAACTAGAAATTTAATACGTGATTGGAAGTTTTGGAATAAACGCTCTTGGATCGAGTTTCAAAAATCATATTTTTCTACAGTCATGAAAAAACTTGAATATTTCACATTGAAATTAATACGCCTAGTTGGTCATTTGTTGTTAAGTGCATAGGGCAGTATTTTTTTTAAGATAGAAAATTAAAAGTACCGAAAATTGACCACAATTTTGACAAGAATCGAAAAAATTCAAAACTTCAAAGTTACTTCAAATGCACTTATAGGAGTGCAAAAGACCCAGAAAAATGTTAAAACGTTGTACTGGATATGCCAGAAATAAATTTTTGAAAAATTTGTTGTATGTATGTATTGGATTAGAGCAGAGAAATTGTCGACGGCGTGGTGATGTAGTGGCATAATGACCCGTTTTCCGGCAGATAGGTTTGGGGTTTGAACCTCGGTAAAGTTAGCAATTATTCTCTAATCCAAATTCAAATAAATGTCAAAAGATGGCGGGCGCATAAGAGCGCGAGCTTTAACACATGTGCATTGTTCTAATAAGTATAATAAGAGAAAGAGAACAAATAAAAGAGAGAGAGAGAATGCGCATTAACTCATAAGAGCAAATAAGAGAACAAAGCATAAGAAAGAGAACGAGTATAAGAGCATAAAATGCAAGAGAGCTTTTTTATCCTTACCCCAAGTTTTATGATTTTTCAAATACTCACTAACAATTACTAAAATTCAAAGTGTTAAAAGATGTGGTCTAAGTGCTTTAAAACATGATTGTGCACATATTCTAATAACTACAATTTTAATTGATTTTTTTTTACTTTTACTGTTCAATAATTAATTGAAACTCACATTGTATCGTATAATTAGTATGTTTAATGCCATGAACTAATTTATTTTTTGTTAAGAGTTTAATTACGAAACATATTCAAAAGAAAATGATAAAAGCACACTTTCAGATGCTTATGATTACGCAGTACCTGAGCCTGGGACTCTTCCGCTTCTTGGTTCGGACAATACATTGCCAATAAATAGAAGTAGAATGAGTAGTGTGTCTTTGAAAAGTCAGAAAATGAATTCGAGAAACAGCCACAGTGAAGGTAAAAGGGTAAGACCAACACCGTTTGTGTAGTTTATTATTTGTATTAACTTGATTTCCTGATAATAGTCTCCAACGCAACAAGAAGCTCTAATCGCACTAAAAAAACGCTTAGAAGACACACAACTTGTAGAGTTTCCAAGGCATCGATTGCGGATGTTATCGAAACTTTCTGAAGGAGCATTTGGAACGGTATTTTTTCTTATAATTCGTATTTGGGGTTGTAAAATTTGCGAAAATTTAGGTATACATCGCTGAGGCGGATGGAATCACCGAATACTCTTCATCAATGTCTTTGGGGACGAGATTGGTGGCAATAAAATTCTTGGGCGAAAATGCCTCTGAGAAAGAAAAGTACGTTTTCGAGTTGTGCATGTCAGCCATGATTGATGAATGCTTTCAGGAAGGATTTCTACCGCGATGTGCGAATTCTGGCGGCTCTGGAGGACCCGAACATTGCCCGTGTTTTGGGTATATGTAGCCAAGAGGAACCGATTTGTGTGGTGATGGAGTATTTAGATCACGGTGATCTGTGTCAGTTCTTAAAAACACATGTTGCTGCGGACAACAATACCAGTTTGCCATACGGTGTTAAGTCACTTTCTTTTAGTTGCCTTTTATACATGGGTGCTCAAATAGCCTCGGGCATGCGTTATTTGGAGTCCCTCAACTTCGTACATCGAGATTTAGCGACGAGAAACTGCTTGATAGGCAAAGGATATCAGATCAAGATTTGCGATTTTGGTACTTACAACGAACTTTATATCAATGATTATTACAAAGTCGACGGGAATACACCGCTGCCCATCCGGTGGATGGCTTGGGAGTCGGTTTACCAAGCCAAGTATACCACCAAGAGTGACGTGTGGGCGTTTGCTGTCACCTTGTGGGAAATTCTGACGCTGTGTCGAAGACCGCCTTATGACTCTTTACCAGATCCTGAAGTTATGGAGAATTTAGCACACATGCACTGTGATGATGGACAGTATATGTATCTACCTCGACCCACAGCTAACAAAGATATTTATGATTTAATGCTTGAGTGCTGGAGACGGAAAGATGTTGAACGGCCGACTTTTAGAGAGATTCACATATTCTTGCAAAGGAAAACTTTAGGATACGCTCCTGCATAGTTTAGGAAGACTGGTTAGATATAGAGGGATCAACATTTATGTACATAGAACACAGGGTGATAATATCTATTTTTATTTTAAATAAATAATTATGTTTATACTTTGTTTTGTATAAATTCAGTTAGGCTTATGTATTATACTTTGACAAGTGTTTTTATTAACAGATTCTCTACATAAATCGCATGTGAAATGCAAGAATCGATTCACAGTATTTATTTATATTGGAGAAATGTAAAATCTATACAAATTAGGACATAATTTATAAGTGAATCTATTTTTTAACGTCTGTTAATACAAACAATGTGTACCTACCCATGCTTTACCCATTTGTTATATAAACTCTTCACAAGGCACAATAATTCAAGACAATGTATAGATAATATTGTAAAAGTAATAATATCAGTGTTATATAATTATATTTACTAGTCAATTGAGGCGCCTAAGTAAAATATTTTCAACGACTTAATGATGTCACAAAGGAGCTTATGAAGGAAAATTAACGAAAAAAAAAGCATTCTAAACTATATATCTTCTACATTAGATAGTATTTTAACAATATGCGCTCCTGTGCTTACAAGTGATGTCTATAATATAGAAATAAAACTTTTCTAGTTACCAAAAATATTGTAACGTTRTTTCAGTTTTGTATTGTTTTTATACGTGCTGATAAAATGTATGCTCGGAGATGTACCTACCTACAGTAATAACTTTTAACAGTCAGGCTTTAGTTTATTATGGATTTGATTATTGTTTAATGTGCCAATAAGCTTCACTTACAATATAGCAAATTGTATTTATTTTAGCTGTAACTTATTTTGCTTTATTGTACATGTAAAACTTTCAACTATTAGATATTCTATGTTTGTTAATGACATATTCACTAAAGTATTGAAACATTCCAACATAATATAAGTGGCACAAATTTTTAAATAACTTTTGCAATAAACCATTTGTGATTTTGTTAATGTGCATTTAAATTTTTGCAATTAATAATTATGTCAAGTAATAATAACATATCAATTTAATAAATTGTAATTAGGTATTACTTTACCCTCGTATTTTGTTTTATTGATAATTTAAAAATAAATCTTGAGAAGATTTTAACATATTTTTTTCCATTTAAGACTCAATACATTTTAATGCAACTCAGAAACAAAAATGCTTGTAACAATTATGAAAGAATTATCTGTATTTTATTTTATTTAAAAAATCAAAATTTCAAACTGCAACCAACAATACACATCTGTATAAAATTTAGTCTATAATTGAAACTATAAATCATATTTTATAAAAAATAAAGGTTTTATTGTAATTATTTTATTTTAAAGCAAAATAAAATTACTTAAAATAATGGACATTTTTGCACCTACCTATATTATTAAAAAAATGTAAGAATTGATTGAATTTGTATTTTAACACCATTTGAAAATATTTCGCGCGGGTTAGGCTGCCATCGATTTCATGTACTGCTGCCAACACTTACACAATAAATAACCCTTTCAAAAAGCTTTTTTGGTATTTTCTGTAACATCTTAAAAAAACATTTTAGAGTTTGATCCAATTGGCAATTTACTTTTTGTTAAAATAAATATGTTTGGACAGCTAAGATTTATTTTGCTGTAATTGGCAAACGTTTGCAGGTTGGCAGCATTATCAATAAAATGTCAACCTCTCCGGTTGTCTTCCGTCAAAAATGAACCACAGTTATGGTGCCAGTGTGTTTACATTGAATGTTATTATTGTGATAAATGTTATAAAATTGCACATTAAATACTGATTATTTGGAATCTTGGTAAGTTTAGTTAATATTAATTTTGTGTGTATTGTATAACGAATCGATAAATCCTGAACCGAGTGTCATGACCCTTTAACGCTTCCAAATTTGTTTATAATTTGTTGTACTCAACATTAATCGCCTTTTAAAGATTGAAATGTGTAATTAAATATACAAAAACCGTGTTAGTCACTTTTGAGCAAGTGACATTTGTTCATTTCCAAACAGGACGTGTTCCAACACCTCTGTTATTTATGAATATTACCGACTTGTATTTACTTTATTTACGGAACACTTCTTAAAAATAGAACTGTTGCATGATAAAAATAAAGATCGGTAATGCTAGATCGCAATTATAATTGTTTCGTTATCTTTTCCGGCAAAATCGACTGCTGGTATGCGGTATATTCGGCCGAGGTTAGGTCAGTCGAAACGCCTCTGAGGTCCATACCAAAAAAAAATTCATTAACCCGAATGTAATGCATAGTTGCAAACAGATGTAGAACAAATAAGAAAGCAAATACAATCAAATGGTAATTTAAATTTTATATCTTTAAACAACATATGTATTTCCATAATTTGCCTAAGAATTTAATGATTGGTTTTTCGAGGAAATGTGCTAGATTTGGAGAGTAGTCTCATTAAAGCACACCTGCTAATGTAATTTAATTTGCAGTGTTTTTAAATGGACCAAAATGATAACTGAATTTCTCTTTCGCAGTGACTTTTACTCCCAAACAACTTTTACTGCTTTTTCTAAATATCGGTGACATATTTTATTGCATTTCAAATTTTCCAATAAAAATTATTTTATATACGTGTTCCTGAAAATTATCTTTTCTGTTAAAACAATATTTGAGTTCTAGTTTTATCTCCTGTAAATGAATTTATCGGGAAACAAATATACTGGATTATAGCAGATCACAAGGTAAAATTAAATACAATTAAATGTATTTCACGATTCAAAGAAACAGGCAAATTTATAGATTACTGCTTGATTTTATAATTGATTTTATTTTATTTTTCAATTCTCTATTTGACAGAATTTGTTACCTGTAGGACGACATACTAAATTTTCTTCAACCCTAGCCATGTTCCTCCTTTGACATTCCAATTAATTTGATACTTATCCAGCACTAGTGGAATTAGGGTTTTTTTGATTGGTACGATTTCAAAATTTTTCAGAACGTGAAAAATTAATAACTTAATTTCCAGAAGGGCAAATCTGGACCCTATACAATTTCTAGGACCAGCTCCAAAAGGTATAAAAGTTGAGGGATTTATCTTGTGTTTATTTTCATCGTTGAACCTTTCTGGATCAAATTTTTCCGGTTCGGGGTAATATTTTTCATCGCGATGTATTGCACAAATGGGTATCGAACATAGCATGCCTTCTTTTAGAAACAAAGGTTTTTCTCCAGGTTTTTTCGGTTCGATTGTGTAATCTTTTGCAACTTCCCTGTCTGTGGCTATAGCTGGTGGCCATTTTCGAAGAGCCTCAGACACCACCATGTCTAAATATTTTAATTTTAGAAGGGTTTCATAAGTGACTTTTTCTCCAGCTGATTGCATTTCGGCCCTAAGACGATTTTGTATGTCTGGATTGATAGCGAGTTCGTAAAATAAGAAATTGAGTAGAGTGGCAACTGTATCAAAACCAGCGAGGAAGAATATTAATGCTTGTGATATGATGTCTTCAGAAGTGATTTCTTGTTTTTGGTTTTGTTTTATTAGTTTTGATTCTGATACGGAAGAGAATCCTTCATCAACATCTAAGTGTTCTTCTTGTTGGCGTCCTTTCTGGGCTTCAAGTAGTAAGTGAATCATATCGGGGCGAATAATGTTTTTTTCTTTTCGTGTCCTAATTGTATCTTTTATTATCGCGGAGAAAAAATTGGCTACTTTGGTTTGAATAATTTTCATTTTTAGCAACTACAATATTTTTTGTTTATTATTATACTAAAAATGTTAGCTACTAACCTTGCATAATGTTGGGCTTAACGTAAATAGTACGAATTTTAAACTCCTTATATACCCAAAGTTGGTTGCAGCTTCACCCATTAGTAGAAAATCATTTTTTCCGTCCTGCAAAGAGTTAATTTCCAAACCAAAAGCTGTACTTGCAATCACGTCATTGGTAAATCTTCTCAAGGTGTCTTTCATTTCTAATTCAATTGTATCAGAAGTTTTACTTCTGAAGTATTCAACAAATTCTTTAGCACATTCATCTATTAAATTGAACATAATTTTCATTTTACTGCTGGTGAATGAAGGACTAAGAGTACTCCTCATATCTCTCCATTTTTCGTCTCTTCTTGCAAATAAATTACGACTCCAAAATAGGTCATCATCGGCATTTACTAATCTTCGGTGATTAACGAAGTGATCAAAATCTTTTATTGTGATTTGTTTTATTAATTCAGGATCTTTAATCATCAAGGTAGGTAATAGAAATTGATAAAATCCATGATACCTTCAATAAAATGGGAATAGTAATTAGTAGAAATTGTTAATTATTGACTCACCTTTCTTCAGGATAATTACTATAGATTTCTTGTATTATTTCGGCGAAACTTTTGCTACGAATCAATTCAAGGTTGCCCAAAAGAAATTTGGGTTTGCAGTATTTGATACCTTTTTCATTCCAAACATTTTGTCGTTTTTTTACGTAGAAATAGAAATAACCGAATATGGCACAGAATATACCGAAATAAATGATACCAGTTGTACCTAAGAACGGTATTAAAAATGCCACTAAAATAAACATGATACTCAACGATGTTTCAATAAAAACTCACAACCTCATGCTTCGCTAGTATAAGTATATTGTGTTATCTAATCGTAATGATTTAATTATAAGTTGTTGCGACGATTATTTACTAATGTGAAGGTTATTAACATTAACTTACAAAAATTTAGCTTTAGAAATTTTTACCAAATTGTAAAAATTGGTTTCACCGAACATTTTATGAAGATGAACATCTTGCACAATATGTTACAATACATTGTGTTTTATTCGAGAGGAGTCCATTGATCATTTTCTAAAATTAACAAGTGTGAAGGTCATTTAGTTAAGTTGAACAATATTGCAAATTACAAATTCCGTCTTAAAAACACAAGATGGCCTTATTAATGAGTATAATTTGACACATTCTCCTAAAGGCAAATTCTGGTATTTGTTGTGAAAAATATACAATAAGTAGGTACTTGAGATTTTAACAAAGAAATTGTTGTTGACTTTTTTTAGATTTATTTTAAGAACTTTGAGCTTGTAATTTTTTGGTCTTTCTATGTGGTTTATTTTGTTATAATGAAGAAGGGAAGTGAATAATATACAGAGTGAATATAAAGTACCAAAAAAAGAACCAAGCGTTTTTTTAATCATTTGCCTCCAGAAAATAATAATTAATATAAGTTAAAGTAATATAAAAAATGTGATCGTATTTTGAGAACGAAATTTTGTTTTGGTTTGAGTTTTTTTTTCAAAATTGCAATTTATGTAAAAAAAAAAATTAAATATAAAGTAGATAGTTGTAATCTTTAGATAATAACCGTTATGAGAAAAATGGTTTTATATTGGGTTGCCATTAAGAAAAGTAATATAAAAAATGTGATCGTATTTTGAGAACGAAATTTTGTTTTGGTTTTGAGTTTTTTTGTTAAAATTGCAATTAATGTTAAAAAAAAAATAATTAAATATAAAGTAGATAGTTGTAATCTTTAGATCATAACCGTTATGAGAAAAATGGTTTTATAGTGGGTTGCCATTAAGAAAAATTAAAAACAAGAAAGTTTCGAATTTTTTTATTTTTGATAATACATCACATTTTTATAGTAATTTATCATTATATTTTCCAAAAAATTAATAATTTAAACAAAAAACGTTTGGTTTCATATTTACCTGATAATAATGTTTGCTACTTTGTTTTGGAAATTAAATTAGCCCACAAAGTTACAAATTTTTCGCGATTTTTGTATTAGGTAGGTATACCATTATAAAACATATTGTTAACTGAGTTTATTGTAAAGTAGAAACGAACATCGGGTCTTTTGTACATTTTTCTGAAAACTATTAATCAAATGGAACCAAAGATTGTTTTTGAATTATTTAAAAAAATACGGTTTTTGACATGGTACATCATGTTGTTTTTATTTTTATGTAACATTCTTGTTAACGATTTATGTTCATAGATAATAATAAAGTTAAGACCGTTTTATGTTAAATAAAGATTTATTCTTGAAACATGTATTCACAAAAACTTGAAAGATTTATCTTTCATTGTAAGCAATGGCGTTGAACGGCAAAGCAAATTTTTTCAGAATTTACGTGTAATAATATGATGCCGTTTTTCAATAATATTTTTTTTAAAAGTAGGATTTTTTTGAACAACATTTTTCTTTTGTCAATTCCGTAGAATGCATTTCACAGTGAATAATATAAAATTTTAAGGTAAAACGTAAAAAAAAAGAAATTGCTTCTTTCAACTCGTGCGCACATTCCTGCTGAAGCTCCGAAAGATTTTTACACGTGCATTTCTTTGATAGCGGTTGCATCATTAGCGCGTTTAGATTCAGTCTCCAGTGGCATAAACCACTGCGGCATTGTATCATTTTCATGGGGAGAAGAAATTCTACGAAGTATTGCTACGTCTCGTGTGCAGTTCCTCTTCGGTAAAGTTACGGTACATGTGCGTCGATTGCGGCAATCTGCTTCGTTGATTACCTCCTTTTCCTATTTGCAGCAGTCGTCTGAGAAAACTGCTACAAAAAGTTTAAATTTACTACGTGTCTCTTTGAGTGTCGGTAACTCATGTGCAAAAATACAAAATGAAGATACAGAATCATGGTGAAGCATGGTGGTTGTGACTCATACTGAAATTTGTATACCCATTACATATAACAGGGATTTTTACAGAGGGAGGTTAGTGTTTTTTATACCTTCAAACTTTCCCTCTTAATAATTTTTAAGGTGATTTTAAAAATTTTCGATATTTTATGTTTTCAATGTTGTTATATCAAAGGATTTTAAAATTCTAAACGCAAGTGATGGTAATAAATTAGAGATACGAGTGTAAGCACTTTATGTTCAAGTGAACTAAATAAGGTTCATAAGTGAATCTTATCCAGCACTACATTATACGAATATTTAGTGCAAGTGAATGAACACGGAAGGTCAAGAAACTGCAGTAAGAAACGTCTCGCAACAAACGGCTGATCTTGAATTGAACAGATGTGTATTACACTTTATTAGAAAAATAATTTGTAGTTCATCTAGACCATCTCTAATTTATCCACTTATTAACATCAATTTTATAAAATAGCTGCATTTTAATTAACATAATGGCTTTCTTTTTTGATGAAATACATTTTTTATGAAATCACTTCTGTTGAAAATTTATTGACACATATTTTGAAACTGAAGCTAATAGAATATTCACGTTGCGGAATTGACCAGCAATAGTAACAAATATACCGTTTCAAAAATATTTAAAATAAGCGAAGGTCATATTCATGACTAGAAAGAAGGTAATCGTCGGTGTCGAACTAGTGACCCAAGCAATAGCATCCTCCTTTCGATGTTGTGAATAGAGGGTCATCACAAGCATTATCTATGTGTGTAGTAACATCGACATAGGTTTCAAACTGGTTTATAAACGAAATTAATTATTTTCGTATTAAACAGGTGAAAATTTTTAGTATCTGGTTTGGCTAACTTGCTGATCATTAAAGCAATTTTAAACAGTTATATTCAGTCATTTTTTGTTGATTGAGTTTGTAAATTTTCGAAATTCGTTAATTGTTTGTCTCAAACATAGGATGTAACGGTATTAACTGACCATTAAATCTAAAAATTTAATGCTTTATATTGACGTTATAAAGCATAATAGATTAGTGTTTTGGTGCAATAATATTTAATTAAGAACCTAACAGTTTAATCTTGTGTTGATTCAATGACAAAATGTTGTTTATTGTCTAGTCATTTGACATGAATTTTGCACTTCATTGTACTTTATGATTTTACGCCTTGGTTAACACAGTTCGTTTTAGCCTAGTTAGCGCTTACTTCTAATGGCGTTATTAATTTATAAGTGCCTCATTTACTTCTGCAATTAACACGTAAAATTCACGTGTGGAGTTTTGGTAGGTAGAATACCGTTGAGGAATTTAAAAAACCAAAAAAATTGTATTAATGGGTGAGTTTAATACAGTAGCAATCTTGTGTATTAGAGAGTGACAGTTGGTAGAGTGACCGTGGTCTGATGAGATTTCTAATTAGACCTTCTTCCTAAGTGGTTAATGGCAAAAAGTTCCTGTTTTTTAAACGCGAGTATACAATGAACTTGAGCTAGACAATATTTCGGCATTTTGTGGTAAGTGGTTAATGGCTCAATTTTATAACTAATAAACAAGGTGTAATGATTGGAAAATTTGATTTATGGATGAAAATAAATATGAATAGTATATATGAATAAACGGTTATATTTTATGGGACATTTTAAATGTGCGACGACAAAATATGCGTGACTATAAAATTGAAAACAGCGTGACACAAACATTTTTAAAAGTCATCATTCAAGTGGTGGTTAGAAAGCATTTTCTGGATGAAATACGGAATTTAATGCTTATAGGTAATATAGCAACTTTTTATGCTTCTATTCATGTTGATCCTTTGATGGTGTATTTTGCTTTTGAATAATACAACAGCCGCTTTTCATACCTTAACGAGAGTTTCACTTCTTTTAATTCTTGACTTTTTTATATTCCGAGAGGAATCTGTAACAAGATGTGGAATAAACTTGTCGAGATTTTTTACTTTTGTTGAAATTGATTAAAATTTTCCAATGAATTGTCATTACATGTTTTAAATCAGTTCTTTTTGTTTTGTACAAGAGTACAAGAAACATGTGCATCTTTTTTAGAATGAAGTATTTTGTTGTAATTAGCAGTACATAGCTTAGAAAGTTCAAATAAGATTAAACAGATTGAATATATGTAATTTCAAAACATGAAAAATGCTCTTGTGGTGATTAAAATATTGCAGCATCAACTTCCGCATTGACTTTCAAGAAACAAATTGAAGATAAAAAATGTATACTTAAATGTATCGTTGTGAAAGTGGAAATACTGAAGTGACGGACTTTAATATGTTATTGTAATTAATTTTTGCTAAGAAAGTTATACTTAAATTCACTGAAAACACTAAATATCTGATTGCAACAGTCACTTTATTTGTTTTAATATAAGTAGGGTAATTTTTTTGAAGTATAAAACTTTTAAATGAAAATGAAAGGAATTCTACGGAAACAAACGGTGAGATCCTACGTTTGGTAACTTTTATTATAATTTAATTGAAACAATTTTTATGTAGTATGTTGTCGGAAAACGTAGTAATTTTACAACCATTCATAACCACCATTTACATAAATTGATGATAACTTTCTTAAACATATTCACTCTAATGTGTGGTAGGATAAAGTTATAAACCTATTTGATTTATGTTTTAAATCTATATTTTTATCTTTTCGATGCATGAATAAAAAGTAAAGAAAACATTGCCATATGGCACTCATTGCATAAAATAACATATCATAAATATGGAGAATTTCGCGGTTTGACACGGTGGTCACATTTCCTTCAGACAACCGGATGCTGTTTATTCATCATCGGTTATTCGTGTCTTATAATAGTTATAATTAAGGAAAGATTCTTTTAAATGTTTTAGCGTTCTTTTATTTATTTAATAAACAAAAATTAATTAAATTTGAAATGATTTAAGAAATTTTACAATACCAGTCCTTGCGATACCTAAGTAGATCCAGCAGGATATGTTACATTTTCAGAAATAGACAAACTTCTAACGCCCAGGTTAAATATAACTTTGTTTTCTTTACAATTAGATTTGTAGGTGCATTTCAAAGTAGATCATTTTATTTTTATTATAATTTATGACTAGATACTCGTTGAAAAGTCAAGCTTTAACTTTGCATATACATTTTGTTTCTTTTTTGGCTGTCAATACATTGTTATTGGCTAAACAATACAACAATGGACCAACTAACAATATCCTTATATTTTCTGCCTGTTCAAAGAACCGCAGCATTGGGTGTCTTAAGCGTTTGTCACTTGTTCGATTACTAACTGTACTATTATTATAATAATGCTGCTAAAGCTGATTTCTTAAATCTAAAAGCACTAGTGTTGTAAATATTTTACAATTTGGTAGAGGATGTTATTTACCTTTTACAGAAGCATTTGTTTGCACAATCATATTTTAAAGTCACAGTTTAGACCTTATTGGCTAATGACTTCTGACTGACTACTGCCCAGTTGCCAAATATTTACCAAATTTAAAGTACACATTTACGTCCTCAACTAGTTGAGGTGCCATCGATTATACAGCTATATCATTAGCTAAATTGCTATGTGTATTGCAATTTATACTGACAATATATTATCTAAATATTTAAGCATTATTTTCTTATATCTTATAGCAGAAAATGGCTTTGCAATTTTGGTAAAGATTGTGTCAAACAAGCGTGGCTTAGACTGAAGCAACTTTAAAGACCCAATTTACTATCTTTTCTATTTCCGACGAACTTATTTCCGGTGCAATTTGGTGCGTTGAATCGTCACCGTTATAAGAAATTGTTGCGTGAGCATTGATACAATAAAAGTAGACAGTGACGAAACATCGATGTGTAACACTTAAAAATGCGCTTGTAAGTTTTTTTTTTTCTAGAATTTGCTAACTGGTTTTCGTAAATTTGATAAAATTGGACAAGATTAGCCAACAACAGTTACCGAGTGATTTGCATTTGGATTTTTTGGTAGAGCGGTCATGTGTGGCATGAGTCCGATTTAACGTTTTCGTGACTAATATCTCAATTTTGTTTCAGATTTCAAATTCGGTACGTCATGCCGTCAGCTCGGCTCACCCTCCGCGAGGAGGACGTGGTTCGACTGGCCCTTGAATTCTTGCACAATCGCGAACTGCATATTTCCCAGTTGAGTCTTGAGCGAGAAACAGGCGTAATAAACGGCAATTACTCGGATGACGTTCTTTTCTTACGACAACTGATCCTCGATGGACAATGGGATGACGTATTGGAATTTATTCAACCGTTGGAGGCACTGCAGGCATTTAATATGCGCAAATTTAGCTATACGATTCTCAAGCACAAATACATAGAACTGTTATGTATCAAATCGGAGGCTAACGTACAAGGAAATAGCGTCGACAACGCGGTGGAAGAGGTCGTTAAGGTCCTTAACGATTTGGAAAAGTTTGCACCTTCCAARGAGGACTACTCGAATTTGTGTTTACTTCTGACTCTACCGCGGCTCACCGATCATTTGCAATACAAAGACTGGAATCCAAGTAACGCTCGAGTGCAGTGTTTTCGAGAGGTCTATCCTCTAGTAGCCGAATTTTTACCCGGAGACAGAAAATCAACAGATGCCAACGCCAATAACAGCGCAAAAAACGACAGACTGATCCAATTAATTATCAAAGGCATTCTGTACGAATCTTGTGTGAATTACTGTCAAGCCAAAGCGACAGGAACGACCGAATCTCAGTCCCACGAGATGAATTTTTCGAGATTGCTTGACGGCAGTGTAGGTTTCAGTGACTCAGATCTTAGTTTGTTGTCTTGGTTGCAAAGCGTTCCCTCGGAGACGTTCTCCGTACCTTTCGAACAACGAACCCTTAACGTGGATGTGGAGCGTTTAGAAAGACCTTCTTTGGAGACTTCATGGACTGAGCACATGCTCGTAACTCCAATTAAGCCAAAGACGTTCCCCCACTCGGCGATGCCATTTACTCGTCCGCGATCAGCGGCCGATATCATGACCCGTTCTCTTATGCCGGTGTTAGACGGGTTGCCTTATGGTTTCGCCGGCGGTGGCAGCGCCGGACAGAACGGCAACCCACGTCTCATGGCGCTGAGCACGGGCGATATCAACACCAATGGACCCATGTCGAGGAGTAGTTTCGCTAGTTTTCACCTGACGGGAATCAAAAATAACAAATTGATGAACACATCGGTGGACAGGCTGTTTGAAAATGAGGGAGAGGTCTTTTTGAGTAACAGTTACGCGGAGTTTCAGCAGCTTCCGTCGATTCAAGAGCAGACGAGTACGCCGAAATTGAGTACACCGACTGGGAATCAAACGAAGTCTAAAAGTCCAGAGAGGAAGGTGTCGAACGCTTCGACTCCGGAACATAAGGGGAGGGAGTCGCCGGCGTCCGTTGGGACGGCGAGGTCTTCGAGGAGGGATTCTTTGAATGAGAAACCGGTCGCTCCTGTAGATAATGTACCTACAGGCTCGGTTGAACCCACTTTAGATAGGAGTTACAATGGGGATCTTTTTAGAGAATTTCAGAAGCAGAAACAGAAGTTTCAGGAAACGCTAGCGCATAAGGAACGAGAAAGGGAAGAGTTGTTGCGGCAGATGAATCATGAAAATAAATTGATAGATGATTGGTGAGTATGTTTTGAGTGGGAGAATAGAGTGTATGAAGGCAATTAAAAAATAATCGTTATTATTAATGGGTTATTTAAAAAAAAATGTACATCAAACACAAATCAAACAAATTTAAGCAGGAGATAAAATATTCAATTTTAAGATAACAGTTTCCTAGTTATGATGTTACCTTTCAATAAAGAAATTTATATACCTCTTACATTCTACTTCGCTAAAAATAAATACACTAAAAACCACAGGTGCTATTATTTTTAAGTGCACTTACGGATATGGACAGTGTTTTTTGTTGAATTTGTAAATGTACAGTTGACTAAACTTTGTAACAAGAAATATTTCACTAGTATCAGCTCTGCTTTGAACGTTTTTGGATTTGCTACTTACAGAAAAAAAAATTGTACAATTACAATTTTTTCATGGAAATTTTGGAGAACTAATAAATTCTCATTAAAAATGTTTGGCATATTTTCTACCAATGTTACAGCAATTAGCACATAGTTATTACTAGTATTGGTTTATATCCTGTGGCGATAAAATTTCCATTTTGCTATACTGAAATTCTTTTTTATATCGTTTTGCTAATCGAATGTATGTACAAATATGGGGATTATTTATTTTGTGTAATAACAAAAAAAACGGAAAGTCGTAAAATACAAACTAGCAAATATCAAGGTATACAGGAATCGACTCAAGCTACATTTTCGAGAACATAATACCCCATATAATGATGGTGCAACGATAAATCTTATTCTATTTGAATTATTCATGAAGTGTCGCACTGTATACTTAGTACCCAAACACTTTTAAGTTAAACATTTGGAACTAAATATTTTTTTACATAAGGAGATACTAGTATTTATTTACATAAATTTTACATAAGTAATTTATATTTATATGAGGTGCTAGATAAAGATAGGTTCCATGTGCAAAAATTTAGAAAACATGAAACTGAAATAAATATATATTTTTTTATATGTGAGAAAATTTTCTGTTTAATGATGCACAGGTAAGATGACTAATGAAAATTTTCCGCAAGTGTCTCAAGGCCTACAACATTTTAAAAAAATGTAAAATTACAATAAACAATACAAGTGTATATTAAGTAGAAGATACAATAAATATTATTTACAATTAAGAATAAGCTCTAATTTGAATGATTAATTGTGTGCATGTTCTTTTCTGATTAGGAAATAAAGTATATGACAGTATTAATTGTATGTAATTTAAAGTTATTTGTTATACAATGTGTCACAGCGTCTATTTCCAAACATTTTTGGACAGGACAAGACAATCATGCATTTTAAGTGCTATTTAAAATTTATAATAGGTATAATAACATAATTTTTCATTTCATGATAAAAAGATTGTGACATAATTTTTCTGCGCAAATAATATTTTTTAATTTATTTATTTAAATAATGCTTATTCTATTCTTATTCTCGTACCACATCGCGTCAACTTTGCAAAAAAGTTCTTACTCATAATTATTATTATAAAATGACTGCACATGACAATTACGATTATTAAATTTGGTAAATTCTTACGTCGCCGCAATTAGTCATCTCTATTTATGTTCTTTGTGGTCTTCCTAGAAAGTAAAGAGACAATGGAAATACCATATATGGCTAGATTTCGATCTTAATCAAGATTGAGAAAGAATTGCAATAAATACCATCCGTAAAAGTAAATAAATAAGCGTTCTCTGTGCAAATCTTACTGCAAGCGATACATTTGGGTGGTTTAAGATTTATTGGTAGTAGATGTAACTTTAATATGTTTACACTTTTGTGGAATTTGCGTGGAAAATGCTAATTATTCACCTTAATCTGATGGTTGAATGATAAATTAGCTGCATTGCTATGCTATACGTCGTAGTTGTTTGCTTTGATTTGCGCCGATAAAACAATACCCACGGCGTACAATTGCCATTTAAAATCAATGTTGGGTGAATTAATAACACCAAGATTTTCTCTTATTTTTCTTTAGGGGAACATCCTATGTTATTACCTTTACACAACGAACAAAGTTCATGAAGATGACGTGGAGTACTCTAATTATGATGTCTATAACGTAACGAGTACATATTTTTAATGCTAATTATGCAAATAAATAACTCAGTACGCTTAGTTTGCGCTCAGATTTGTAGGAGTATGCGTTCATACTGTTCTTGTATAAGTACTTTGTTTATTTGTTTAATTGGTTATTACAATAGTGCCTTGAAAAATTTGCTATCTTACCATCTCGGCCAAGTCTACCATTTCAGTTATTACTGAAAAAATTGTGTGTTAGATCACAGTTCTCGAATTAACAACCATAATAATTCCAATTACAAGCCAATAAAATTAATTAAGTTCTAACACTCCGATATATTTTTAATTGTCGTTGATTAGTGAAAAAATTGGGATCATCTCAGTGATACGTGCACATCATTACAACCATGGAATGCAAAACTTCCGATGTTTAAATTACGCAGTGCTTACACCACTTGTGACTTTTTACCACATGTTCAGAGTCTTGTGCAGTGAGTGGTAGTTCAGCATGTATTACCATAATTACTTACATCCTCCCGTTTTGGCAAAATATAGGGAACATGGAAGAAGGAAAGTCGTTTCCTATATTGATAAATCTGAATGTAGTTTACATAATAAACAATCAAGCAGGTGAGATAGGCATTCACCTATTGTTGAACAAATCTATTTGCGGTCAAAAAATGTTAAACGGAGTGTAATATCTTAAACAAGCAAAAACAAGGTTTCTAAAATTACTACTATGATTGGGTCAAGCAGACAATGTTATTTTGGTTACATATTGATAAACAGTTTGAATTTTTGATACCGTCATGTCTAATAATAAGTACGTGGAAGAAATTGTCAATTTGTGTGATTGTTTTCATCAATTATTTTTGTATTGCATGTTAAATGTGCAATGCTGCTATCAGTGTTTTACGACGGTAGTTTAATGGAGTTAAACTATCTATCACTCCATCAGTTGCGGTTTTTGAAATTATCTAATATAAGTTTTTCCTTTTTTGCAGTAAACAGAGTGCAAATAAACCGGTAAATGGCACATCTGGTCTGAATCGCGGTACTCCATCTCCGAAACCCAATCTAAATGGAAATGGCGATGTTTACAGGTAACACGTTTTCAAATTTATTGTTTATTAACGCGTTTGCATTTTATTCTTATCTCTTCATTTCCAGACACATACTATGAAATATTTACTCATGTGTTTTCTAGGGGGCCTGCAAAAGCAGATGGAAGGGACCCAAAGGGACTGCAGGAAGGACTTTATGATGCCGTTAAGGTAGGGTTGCATACTGTATTACAAATCAAAAGCCATAATGAGAAAAACCATAGAATTTTGAACCTACATATTACACATTGGTGATTACGTGAATTTTGTTTTTGTGTGATGAGCATCGTATTATAAAGTGCAATGTGGTAATAACAGCATTCTGTTTTTTTACCTTTATTTTGAGTAATTACTTATAGGTTTGTATATAATTGAAGTTGAAAAGAAAAAATAGCTTCTACTTTTTGGCATTCGCATTGTCGTTAATTATTCCTATTAAAAATTGAAACTCCAAAGGATGTCGGTCATTTTTCACTAACTGTTTACACAATTATCTACATAACATTAAGTTTGTCTTCAGTCTTAACATTAATTTATTAGTATTAGTTTAACACTCTGTATTCGAGGCGGCAAGTGATATTTACAACAAATTATCTTTTTGCTTTAGGTGTGATTTCCATTCACTTCAGCAGGGGAATCTAAAATCGTGATTGTGTCGAGGCGCACAACAAATTATATGCATGGACTGTTTTTTGTCGCTTAAATGTCACAATAAATAACTAAATATTATCTTTGCCTTGGAACACAGTATGTCACACAAATGGCATTGATACTATTTCTAAGAAAGTTAAAAATTAATTACATTCGTTCAGTAATTAGTAGGTTTAATAGTCATAACTATAAACACACCTACGCTTCTTCTAAAGTCAGTATCAGTTTCGTATTTTTTATTTGTCGTTCCGTCATGGCACTGATTAATGGTGATTTTATAATCAGATTGTAAAAAAAATGTATTTGTCAAAATATAATAAAAATTGATTATCTTCTCTCACTTGTCAGTTTGAAACAATTTTACAGTCATTGTTATTTGATGGAAAGATGAAGACAGGTAGTTTTTGTAAATGTTTGTTTGTCAATGTACTTTTCTATTAAAACTTATAATCAAATACGTAAATATTTGTTTTCTAACAAGAGACAGTTATGTTTGTTTTTTATCGTGTCTTCCAAGGTAAAATGTTAAGATGTTTGAATTATATGTAATTCTTCCAAATTTGGCAAAGAGTCATTATTACATATTATTATATTTACTATACATGGACTATAGCATTGACCTATAAATAATTGATATAATTGTTGGCCTCTGATTTTCTCCGTATCATTGTGTCGAAATAACGGACTGTCCCATATTTAATGTATTTTTCTTGATACTTGATTGTTATTTGATCACATCCGTACTGTTTCCATACTCCTAATTTCAACGATAACAGCCTAGGTCGTTAAAATTCAACGCATGTTGCTATACAAAAGACAAACTTGGAAAGCTACTTGGTACAGTGTTTGACATAAATTATGATTTTGAATAACTTTGCTAAAAAATTTTAAGCGCATTTAATTTTTTGATTCTACAGTGTTGGATGCTATGCGTTGTCAAACTGAAATTTTATCAAAATATTATTAAAATTCAATACTGAAAAATGTAGGTAGGTAAAAAATATTAATTAAAGTCCTTTGTTTTAATATTTTTTTATTTAATGTTAAAAATCAATGATCTGTTGTATCATTTTATGGTGTGTGGAAGGTTTTATGGTTAAAGAAGGTTGAAATTATGTAAAAGGTAATACGAGTCAAATTGTTGTGTGAAACAGATTGAAACCCTAATAGCCAGTACGGCATTTACATATCTATTTTCAAAATATGCAGTATATTTAATGTAAAAAATTATTTATTAACAAAGCACTTATCATCCAATTATTATTAATGAGTACAAAAATAATTTTAACGTTTTGACGAAACGTATTGCGTATTAGGTTTTTATTAACGACGTATCTATTTCTAATTTTAAATGAAAGCACCACACCTAACAACCCCGCAAATAATTAATATGTAAACTACCTATCTCTAATAATTAAAACACATTTATTATTATTTACAACAGCTTATATAGCTGAACAAATTACTTTTGAAATTGTAGTGTAATTTTATTTATGTTATTATTAATCACGAGTGCTTTAAATAACAATTATTGTTTAACATTGCACTGGTAAATGTTTTGGTAAAGATTATGATGAATTCCATAAATTTCAGATGTACTGAAATGGTTTTAGTAAAATTTTCGTTTAGGAAGAAACAAATTTCCAAACCTCTGTAACACGATGATGTTACAAATTATTATTAATGAGTATTTCTAAATGATTATCGGCAGAATTGTTCTAGTAAAACATAGAAAAAAAAACAATTAATTATCGATACAGCACACAAACACTATGGCAGATTAATTCATTTCTTTTTTTCAGCTTAGTGAGTAGGTAGGTTGAGTTTATTCCAACGTAAAATTAATAGTTTGTATTTAATAGACTTGCAATACATTCGAAAAATCTTTATCTTTGTTTTAAAAGCAATTTTATTATTAATCATTAATAACCATGCTCCGAGTTTGTTAATTTTGGAATTGAAAGTAAACTTTTTCTTGTTTTTAATTATGAAATGAAGAATTTCTTAAAACACATTTTTTTAATATAACACCACCAATTAATCATTATTAACCACGCTCCGAGTTTGTTAATTTTGGAATTAAAAGTAAACTTTTTCTTGTTTTTAATTATGAAATGAAGAATTTCTTAAAACACATTTTTTTAATATAACTTCACCAGTTATGTTATCTTAAAAACTTAGGACATTTGTAATTAAAGAATTAATCTTTTTGAGGATTGACTATGTAATGACAACTTTTTTTATCATTATCTAAAAAATTTTATTTTAACTTTAATTTGAAAGTACAATTGAGTCTTTTTTTCATTATCTGGAATGAGCAGAAATAAGTTAATTTATTTTGAAAATAACAATGATATTTCATATTTTATGTCGGGTCCAACATGCTAAATAGCATATTTTTTAACAATTTTTTTATTTATGCGGTGGGAGTGATGTAGATTTCGCTCACGTTCCAAATTTGCAATGAAATCTTGACTTTTTTGAAAGCTCTCCTTGACTTTGCTTTCGCAAGTTTGTTTGTAAACAAAGTTAAGTATGGAAGTTTACCTTTTTTTTGAGCGTTTTTCTTTTGGAGATTCTGTGGGTTGTAGTTCAAAGATTTGTTGTCATAATAATATTGCGCATTTGGCCTCCACCGTGACAGTACCTCCGCGACCGTTCAGCGCCAATGTTGGAATGTGGCCGCAGTCATGGGAACCTGCTGACACACTCGCATCTTAGTGATCATAGTGTTGTGTGAAATTCCAACGTGAGTGTTTTAAAAGTGAGTAACTTTGTGAATGAACAGTAATTCAAAATTAACCCAAAACCAAAAGTTGCAATTTTGTGGGTTAAACGAAAGTGTTTTTGGATGTTGGAGATTTAACTGTTTTGCGAGATTTGCTCTGTGGAAATGGGCACTGCTATCAACCACGCAGCTGCTATTAAAAGGCTCGAGGCCCTTTTCAATGAGGTTAAGCTCGAGCAAAAAGCAACACCAGAAGTGCACGTCGAAGTTGAGTCGAAAATAAGTACAAAATGTGATGTGCATGGAAAAAATGGACGGCGAGGCTCGCTGGGAAATGTTTTGCATATTACAAATAGAAGAGATTCTTTGGGAAATGTTGTCAGTCAAAAGAAGGATTCGAACCAGTTCTATGCGGGGCATTTTGGAAACGGTGTAGGTCCAAGGAGAGAATCAATGCCGGCTCTTAATAGCTATGGCACTTACTATAGGTGAGGAAAAGAGATACTAGCTGTGTCAAAGTTAAGTGTCGTGAACCATTTTTCCGGAACTATTTCTCATTGTTCAGGCACTACACTAATTACTCATAGTAACATTTCAGCGCAGATAATTTGTATGTGTGAGAAGTGTGTCGTCCATCTACATGAAATAAACAACTTCTTATACATGCTTTACTAATAGACATCATTAAATCTGGAATGAAATCTTTTTAATTACTATCAAAGAAGATTATTTCTGCAATAATTTGCATTCTAATAATTTCATAACTTAATAAGGACAAATATTTTGAGAAGATTGTAACGGTTCTAATCGTGGCGTGAATCATTCCAAAGATTTTTTCTCCTAACCACTGAACTAGAAAATAGTTTTACTTTGCATAAAGAGGCAAAAATTTTACTGTTTAAAACTACCACAGGCGCCGTGACTCTCTTGCTCTTCCCAATGGTCCGCCAAAAAAGGACATGGAGCATCCAAGTCAATTTGCTTCGACTTTACGAAAAGACCCTTTAGGATCATCGATGGGATCTTTACGTAAGGATAACGGTCGTTGGGGCTCTCGCAGAGATTCCCTGGGAGGATCAATGTCCTCACTTAAATCAAATTTCTTACAAGTACCGAATCAGATACGAAGGAATTCGAAAAATTATTCGACCGATTCTCTGGATGGACGCCGAAATTCCTGGGATCCGAATCGTAGAGGAAGTTCCGGAAGTTCTTGTTGGGAAGAGCCGATTTGGCAAAGCAGAAAGGTATAAAGAGATAAAGTAATGTTATTTACATAAACGGTTGCCTTATTTGGCTACATAAATGTTTATGTTTTTTTTAAATTGGTTTGGAGGAAGGTGTTGACAGAAGAAAAAACAGATACATAACATGTTTTATTTATTTTGCGTGTTTACAAATTGAAATGTGTCAATAATAATGATGCATCATAAAAGCTTCCACTTGGTGTTTGATTACCAAATGAATAACTTATGCCAGACATTATTGTCTCAATTCGCAACCCACAGGTATCCAAATGAGTGTTGGTTGTTACCGGGAGCGTTTTAATTCGCTAGAAGTACAGATTCTTTTAAGTTTTTCTTTTTACTGAAATTAATCTTTATTACTACTACTAGAATTTGAGCCATTAAATAAAGTATAAAGAAACATTAAAAATGTTTTACGCATAACAATGAATAATTTTAAACTTGCGTGGAGTCAACAACATTGCGTAATATTTTTTTCTTAATCGCAGAAAAAATTGTATCGGTTTGCGTTCATCTGAAAACAGTTTGCATTCCAGCCTCTAATT